TATCTGTTTTCTCTTTCTTTGAAAATATCTTTAATTTTAYAGACAAACAAAAKGGATTCCAGYATGAAAGACTTTGATGATTTGGTAGACATTTCTGAGGAGATGATGAYGGATGTCTCGTTTTTTGATGATGAAGATGAGAAAGAGGAAACCTACCACGACACTGGCAGTAGATATCCTGCYAGAATGCGGTCCATGACAGCAAGTTACTGCGAGGCKGAAGTACCAGATGATGATCACTATCTTTGTGAGTCGTTTGATTATATTAATATCACGTCAATSATTTACCATATTCTTGCAGCTTCCTTTTGTTCACGTTAGAAAATGCCTTTCACCTTTCTTTCATTGCTATGCATTCACTTCAACAACTAACCTGCACAACAATTCAAAGTTTCTTGTTTGTTTGTCAAGATTGTGAAGAATGTCAAGATCTGTACCATGGAGACTGTCCAGTTCACGGTGCATTGCAGCCCTTCCCTGACAAGCCACTAGCTGCTGACCATAACAACGACATCATAACAGCAGCCAGGGCGTCTTTACCCGATTTTCTTGAGATCAAACCATCAAAAATACCACACGCAGGTCTTGGTGTGTTTTGTAAATCGGGTGTTCTGCCAGTCAGAGCAAAGTTTGGATCGTACAAAGGCAAGAAAGTCAAACTAGAAGACATCGCTGATGACATGGACACCAGTTATATGTGGGAGGTACGAATATATCTAACGAATGATTGTATGCTTCATATCACAATCACGCAGCTCARCTAGCGTAAGGTTGTGGCCCTTTTGTCATTGCACATCACAACGTAGCATGCTAAAAAGACTTTCGGATATAATAAACATTTATTGATGGCATTTTTCCCCTTCATTTTGGGTGTATTTGAGCCTGAAGTGGAAATCCAAAAGAAACCTAACGGATTCAAAAAAATATCCCTGTTATATCTTCATGTATGTATATATACTCCCCCGAGATGCATGGTCATTCGCAGTCATGGAGATGGTTGGAGTGTCCTGATATAATAGAAATCATACAAAATATTTATAAATCATGCTTAAATTCATAGTATAATAGTGAAAATGCGCATTTTTATGATCTMAGATCATGAAGGATGGAAAGTTTAGTCACTTTGTCGACGGTTCAGATGAGAAGACTGCAAATTGGATGAGATTTGTGAATTGTTCACGATGCGAAAAAGAACAGAACTTGGTGTCATTCCAATATAGAGGAGAAATCTACTATAGAAGTTACAAACAGATACCGCAAGGGACAGAGTTACTGGTTTGGTATGGTGACAAGTACGCGAATGATCTGGGGATATCTACGAAAGATGTTGATGATGTTGTGGGTAAGTCTGGAATAGTCGCGAAAGTGGAACCTATTAAACTGTTTTTAACATTTGTTGAATCTCTTTCAGAACCAAGAAAACAGCCACAAACACAGACACAAGGACAATCAAYATTTCAGACTCTACTGATCAAAGGAAACAGCACTGTAGACAAGGACCATAAATGTACACTGTGTGATAAAAGACATGACACTGCTAAAGAATATGATGAACACCTACGGACACATTGCAACATCAAAGATCTAGTTTGTCCTGTTTGTAAGAAAAAGAGYRCACAMAGTGGTAATTTTGTGTCACATCTACGAACTCACTCTGGGTATAAACCATATGAATGCAAGTATTGTAACAAGAAATGTACACAGCAAAGTGACCTTAAAAAACACGAACGTATACACACAGGCATAAAACCATATGAATGCAAGTATTGTAACAAGAAATTTACA